TACGTTCTTCTAAGACTTTTTTTATGGCAACCGTGGTAGCGATTGCTGTAGTTTTTTGAAACAAAAAAATATGGATACGATGTCTTAATCTGTGTGTAGGTTTGGTTATTATCAGAATGCTTTTTCGCGCTGCTGGAAATTTTTCTACGAATGAATATGGAAGAGACATATCTTTAAACTTAAATGTGTATACATACGTTATTTACATGCAACATGTTAAAATGATTTAAACGATTTAAACTGCTGAATACGGTCTAGAATATTATTACAAAGTTTTATATTTTTTTCAAATATAAATTAGGGTAAGTGGTAATAAATCTTCACTTATGAATTTCAGCTCATAAAATCACGAATGAATTCATGACTGATTAGGGAAGTGTTAAGAGTTAAAAATATAATCGTGTTCCATTTTTTATTTTTTATATTTTCGTAGTTTATTTTACACTTATTATATAATTTAATAATAAACTATGTAGCTATATTGTATCCAAAAAAAATTCGAAGTTATATGGATATTTTGCTCTCAATGGCTTATATTTTCTAACGATGTTTTATGGAAAAATTTCCGATTTTAGAAAATTTATGTATTTTTTATAATTAAAACAGGTGTTTGTATAAATAATATTCGAGCTAATTTATAAGTTTCGATAATAATGCAATTTAAAAAATCTGTATGTATTGTATATAATGCGTGTTCTCGTAGGATCCAATTGGGGAGACCCAAGAATCGACCATCGAGATCCCCGAGATCTACGTTCCGTTGATCCCCGAGAGATACGAGATCCCCGTGATCACAGAATGTCTTTGGACCCTCAAGAACATATACGTGCAATACATCCAATGGCTCGGGATCCTAGGATGGCAGACATGCGAGGAGATCCACGAGGTATTTCTGGGAGATTAAATGGCACAAATGCGGATACTATGTGGGGTCAACCTCCAGGACCTCCGCACCACCAAATGGGACATCAACACCCTTCTGGCCCTCCAACAAAAATGTTGAATCCCTCCAGTATAAATCAGTGGGCTGCTCCGCCACCAAAAGATATTATGCCGGGCAAACCATCAGGTTGGGAAGAACCTTCTCCGCCGACGCAAAGGAGGAACGTTCCGAATTATGACGATGGCACCAGTTTATGGGGTAATGCTGCAACTAATCAAAGGGCTATCCCTGGAAGTAAAGTTGCTCATTGGAAGGATCTTCCAACGCCAAATGTTGCGAGAGGAGGTTTGTTGTGTTACATTTGTCTATTATACATTTATTAATATTATTCGATAAAATTGTATTTCTCACAAAGAGAAATTGAAAATCGCACGAACTCTTTCTGCAACTAACGTAAATAATATAGAAAAAGTAAAAGTAAGTAGCAACAAAAGTATAGAAAAATATCCCACGTGTATTCCTTTTAGAACTGTTCATGTATCTAGTCACTTGTTCACGGTTTAGGAATAGGTCCAAAATTATAAATGAAACATCAACTTAATAAAATATCTTGAAAGTCTTTAAAGACAGTAAAAATTTTTATCTTTTTGTAATGATTGAAATAGCATTAACACAATTATTATAGATTTATAAATTATCTTACTATAGATCGAGTGGCCTATATTTTATTAAAAATTTGTTAATGTACATTAAATGCGGTAATATTAAACATGCTTTCCCCAATTTTACTAGAGTATTTACAAATAAAAAAGCATATTTTGTTACTCACGTTTAATCATCTCATGCTAAACACTCATAGAGCTTTATGATAAACAATTTAATTGAATAATTGTATGGGGCTGATATTCAATGAGAAACTAAAAGTATTCTTTTAATAATTAGGAAATGCTATATTTAGAATTAGAAAATTAACAAAATGTAGAAAACAAAAAACTATACGATATATTCATAACGACATTTAAACCACACCTTGCAGATCAGTTTTCGTTCTCACCCATTTTGTAATGCAGACATTTTAAGTGCTCTGAAATATTGGATCCAGTTAACGTTGAGATCTCATAATAGGATTTCTTTTCTTTGGTCATCCACGTTGTATCGATAATACTACAATTGGTTATTCTGCACGAACATCTGTTTGTAGATGTTATTTCGGAACGATGTTTTGTACCGTGTTAGGATAAAATCGTGTTGTATGAATCTCGCGACAAGTATAATAAAAATTAGAATAACTATGATTTCGATGAATTCATTCTATATTTATAAAAATGTGGTTTTATTTATTCTGATAACACGTTATCAATGATCATTGTTGTACATTTAAGAACATATCGTCGTTACTTTTGTGAACATGAATTTTTGTTGCCTTTAAATAATCTATACATATTAGTTAAAACTTGCGTTCAGCTTCTTTTGGGATTTTATTTGGAGGGTTAATACTACATATCGTATGTTTGTCTTGCTGTGTTATTGAAACATTCGTTACGTATTCGATAAATCAGAATTCAGAGCAGGGAATTGAATATTATAATCAAAGAAAAATTCAGTGTAAAATTAATTGATACCAAACTGATTTCTATAGGTACGCAGTGCCCTCCAGGCATGCCACAAAACCGAATGCCAGGTCAGCCTGGAATGAAACCAGATGTAAGTGGACCAATGTGGGGTCACCCTGGTGCCCCTGGTGGACGAAATGGTAGCTGGACAGAAGGACCACACGATGCAGGTTCATGGGATGACCCAAAGACACCGAGTACTTGGAATGAAGCACAGTTGAACCCTGGTACTTGGGGTGGACCTAGTGCGCACAAACCCAAACCGATGGGACCTACTGGAAGCTGGGGTGATACTGATATGGATCATTCTCCTAGTTGGGGTCATCCTACAAAACCTATTCTTACGAAGGAAGTCATATGGAGTAGTAGAGAATTCCGATATCTCTGCGATTTAGGCTTTAAAGTACGCATAAGTTACTAGAGAGAAATCGTTAAAATTAGAATAAGCTACAAAGTTTTGAATTCAGAGTACAGCTGACGCATATTTTTTATAGTATTCCTAATTCCTATGAGTTTTCTATGTTGAAATTAAAGTGTTTCTCTTTAATCTAACAAGTGAAAGTAAAATGTTCCAAACACTTTCAATTTATCATTTCCGATTGCACTATTTTAACTGATTAAATTGTTATCATATTTAAATTAATAAATTCAATAATTTGTTTTCTTTTTTGCAGAAAGATGATGTTGAATTAGCATTGAGGAATCGCGAAATGAATAGAGACGAAGCTTTGGAACTTCTGAGTCAGGTGCGGCCGTTAGATCAGTGGAGAAGACATGACGCACACTCCACTTATGATCCAAGCAATCAAGCTACAACTGCACCAGCATATCCTAGATTTAATCACGTCGCACAACAGATGTCTTTCCCGCCGGTAAGATGAATTATTGTTATCTTTACTTCTCTCGTGTTATGTAAGATCTTAGGAGCTTTTATTCCTTGCCAACTAATTATATCGTAGTAATACGAAAAAAAGTAGAAGTATTTACAATCGGTTAAATTATTCAATAAATTTTACTTCTGTTATATAATGTTTTAGGGTATACTTTGTTATTATTCAACGATAAAAAATATAATTACCTAACCTGCTCTTAACGAAAGTAGATTATTTCTTATCATTTTTTTATTATTTTATACAGTTCCCTTTTTAGTGCTCTATTACACTCTCCTTATTATTATTTTTTTTATTGTACGTTTGAACTATTTATGTGCCGCCTCCTTAGTTTAGTCAGGTGTAAAAAAATCACATCTTCGATGTGGATATTCACTTATGGAGAGTGTTTTATCCTAAATAGGAACTTTTCGAGTTGAATATAATTTCAGTCAAATAATATCGTATAAACATACCATCATTTTTTAATAGTTCCAGTGTTATTGTTAGTAAAAGTTATAAATACACAAGCATGAGATAAAAGACTCTTTCTCATTATTAAAGCGGTTTCTTGATAAAAAGAAAACTTCAGGTGACTTGTAGTATTTTATGTAATTTACAATTTAGACTATACCTTTGAAAATGTCCGATTAGAATTTCGTAGATTTTCAAAGATGAAACTTTAATTTAACCTAGGTTTTTGCGAAAATGTAAGTTATAAGAACATAATATAATAAAATGAAGAATATACAGTTTTAATATTAAATATTATATTTATAGTTCTAATTATATATTTAGAACAAAACAAAGTAATTCAAAAAACTATTTTTGCATTTTCAAGCTATTGTATAGAAAACAATAATAATGTCTAATATGACAGGAAGTCGTATTTAATTTCGTTTGGAACTTCATTTAAAAATAATCATTATTTAATTTCGTGTGATAGGTGAAATTTGATCGCGCACGCCGAACTCACACTCCGATTTATCGAACCGTTCTATAAAAAAAATAGCTACAGTTTGTGAAAATGCATCTTATTTTAATTGAACGTTTTCAGGGACATGTAAACGTTATTTAAAAAATCATCGCTGGTTATTGAGAAATAGTTACGTTTATGCTTATAGACGCAAAAAATATGTATGTATACTGTTCTTGTTTATAAAAACTGCTATAAAAAGGCATTTTTATTTTACGTACAACATAGTTCATATGATACCAAGTTACAAATTATAATATTTGGTTAGATAAAACAACATGGTAATCTATAAATTAATTTCAAAGTAGCTTTTTAAACTCTGATTATCGGCGTTAAACTAGAATATCTTTGAAAGGGTTGCGGCTGAAACATTGAAAATTACGAGGAATTATACACAGATATCCTATCTATCAATTCTATTAATTCGATTCTGTGAATTAAAAACTTCTCTTTTTATTTTGTACACGTTTTCGGGCAAATTGATTACTGTGCATCGCCTGTAAAATTTGTCAGCTTCTTAGAGTCACATTATCAAATTATGATTAAATGTTATGGATTTATATTACTATTTCTTATTCAATAACACACAAATGATTCTGTAATTATAGGGTGCTGGTGTGGCAAGTGGAAACACAACTGGTAGTGTAGGAGGGTCGGTTGCTAGTGCAAGTTTGTTGAAATTACAACAACAGCAACAACAAGCTGCTGTTCCTTTACAACAACAACAACCTAGTGGTAATGCACCTCAACCACCTTTCAATCAGGTAAATTCTTTAATTATCATAAATATAATATAATGATTCAAATTATATATCCTGTCTAGAAAATATTTGCAATAATGTAGTAATAATTTTTCGCAATTAATGTTTTTTATTTTAGCCTTCTAGAACTCCTCAGAATCAACCGAGTACTCAACAGCTGCGTATGTTAGTGCAACAAATTCAGTTAGCCGTCCAGGAAGGTTACTTAAACCATCAAATTCTAAATCAACCTCTTGCACCTCAAACTTTAATACTTTTGAACCAATTATTGCAACAAATCAAAGTTCTGCAGCAACTTCATCAGCAGCATTCGGTACAGAGTACTATGAAGGGTAACGGCCAATCAGTTCTTCAGATCAGTGTACAAATAACTAAAACCAAACAGCAAATAGCAAATCTTCAAAATCAAATTGCTGTGCAACAAGCTACTTATATGAAGCAGCAGCAACAACAGCAACAGCAGCAGCAACAGCAGCAGCAGCAACAGCAGCAGCAACAACAACAACAACATCCTGCTCCACCATCTCAGAGTTCGGAATACTACAAGAGTTCTGTACATGACCCTATGTCAGCTTTACAAAACAGTTTCACAGAATTAACAATGAACAAGGAGCCTCCTATCGTGAGTATCGTTTATGCCTTATAAAATCTAGCAAACATCATTGCAGACTTACATTTTTTATGCAATGCAGAATGAACTCATACTTCTTGAAGGGGAAAAACCATATTGTTGATCCAGTAATATATAAAATTAAGTAATTATTACTCAACTATTTTTATGGGGATTGTTAAAGCAAAAAGGTGCTTTGAAGTAATACTAGGTACAAAGTATAAGTACAAAACTCATGGTTTTCATAAAGATGGATTTTCTGAGTTAAATGTTTTTATTATTAATAATCCTTTAATGGTTTAATAATCTTCGCCATGTATCGATCATTTTCAAAGTAGAAGAAAGTGGTTCCATTTTGCAAATTATATGTTTTAGCGAATAATGGAATTTTTTAATTTAGTGCGAACATAATCTGCATCGAATAGAAACTATTGATATTTTTGTTACAGAGTCAACAACAGTCAAGACTGAACCAGTGGAAGTTACCTTCATTGGACAAGGATGGGGAGTTAGTTTCGAATGAATTCTCAAGAGCACCTGGAACTACCAGTAAGCCAGCAGTTTCATCGGCTGGTTTGACACAATCACACAGTAGTCCTAACATGAATCCTTTGTTGGGTCAAGGAGATGGTACATGGTCCACCAGGCTCGGAGAGAGCGGATGGCCCGATCCAGGTAATACGGACTCTACCGATGGAAAGGATTGGCAACCAACTGGTGCAGCTACATTCACTGACCTTGTACCTGAGTTTGAGCCCGGCAAACCATGGAAGGTAATCCATTTCCAATACCGTACGTTCTATCGCAAGCTTTTAAACATATTTGTAATTGGCTGTTAACGTAATTGTCACTATCAAATCTTATTCTTCGTTAGTCTGAAGTCTGTACAACTATCAGCATACTTTGTGCAGCCCAGATGTCATACTGAGTTATTATGTTCATTCTAGTTCATTCTATTTAGAGACATGAAATAACGTTAGCATTTTTATAAATATTTTTGTCTCGTGATTTTCTAAAATTTGAAAATTTAATTTAATTTAATTCTTTTAATATTTTAAAGTATTGCATTCTGAAAAATGTAATGAAATATGTTCTTATAAAAGATTTCCTAGATTTTAACTTTTGTATATTTACAAAATATTTAATTACGTACAATGATATACAATGAAGAATTAAATAATAGTATAGAATAAAGAATATTATATTGTAACATATATTATATTATATACACTACACATAATATTATTATATTTGATCAGAGCAGAGTAATTACCAATAATCTCTTTTGATTTTTTTTGAATACATTGTTTATAAATGTTAAATTACTGTACACATTTTAAGGTTCAAACTCGGTCATTCGATCATTTCATAGATAAAAGATAGGTTATTTTTTAAAACAAATAACATGAAAATATTGACTTCCTTGAAATAAATTCGTATCGTATTGAAAAGCAAAATCAGAATGAACATAATCTTTCGATATCCAGTGTGGTGCCCCTCAACTAAACGCTTAAGGTTTGTAACGTTTTAATCGCTGAAGTGAAGTAAAACAATTGCAATCGTATTCTCATTCTTTTCTTTCGTAAAGAAAAATTGTAATAGATGACATTTTGTTTCATACACAAATTAAATTTTTCATTACTTTATTTTGAATATAATACAGAGTGTATCTAGTAACTAATAGTCTGAGACAGGTTATGGTTTGTGAAATTAGAAAAAAATCGTAAAACAAAAAATTTTTACGCTACTTAGCAAACTCTATCATAGTGCAATCAGTCTTTTTATAAATGCATTAACGCAGTTGTAAAGTGTTGATACATATATATTTTTTTTTATAATAAATAATTTCTTTGTATCATTTTATGTAAAAACGTTTTAAGATACTACCAGAAAAAATTCAATCAACAATTCATCATAAATTTGAACTATCTTGAAATATTCTGTCATCGTCAATATTTTGCATACCCAGCACTTTAAACTTTTTGGCAGTAAGTTTACAAGTTCTGAAACATTAAAGTTTTATATCGTGCTCAAAATTTTCGTCTACATTTTCATTTATAGAAATTGTTTCTTACAATACATGTACACGCACTTCATTTAGATAATACAGATTAGTAAACTTATTGATGGGACTTACATGTCTCTTGTTGAAATTTATTCTATTAAATATATGTTTACAAATCGAAAAGGCATTAAAACTCCAAGAATATATTTTTATAAATATCGCGGAAACTAAAGCCAAGCAGTCGGTATTATATATAGGAAAATGATGTTCAGAATCAAGTTTCCAACAGCATATTTCAGTTATCCAAATCAGTAAGGAATTGCTGATGTGAATAATTACCCTTAAACCTTTTTTACATAAAGTAATGCAGAGAAATGATTTATGTAAAAACGATATATAGAGTTTCATTTTAAAAAGAATGCCATTGCATTTTTCGGCTGCATCAATGCATTTGTAAAAAATTGATACTATAATATGGTAGAGCCTGTCAAAGAGTACAAAGTTTTCCTTTACGATTTTTTTAATTTCTCCAGGATCAGAATGATTAGTTTACCCCTATCATTAGATACACCCTATACATATATTCATATGGTATTATAAAATTTAAAAAGTATGATAACGTCACTTGACAGTTTTCAATTTAATTCTTACACTGACTTATGACATTTCAAAAGTTAACTATATTAATTAAAAATACTTTCTCTGCAGTAACATAATTTATTATAAAAAAAAATTATTCAATTCAAAAAGTATTGAAAGAATGGAAGTATTCTTTGAAGTGTGATAGATAAATTTGTGGTATGTTTCTATGATTACTATGTGTCATATTTAGTACATAGTAATTGTACTGTACTGTATTGTATTCTCCAAATCGCAGAGAACTGGTAAACTGTTAAATATTTTTAACTGACGAAAATTGGAAACCTTCTTTGGTCTTAACTAGACCATGGCCGTTCAATAGACCTGGCGGGCTAAAGGCAGGATTCCGAGCAAACCTCTGGGTATTCGTTCATGAAGTTGGGGAAACGGATTTGGTTAGTGGGATAAGCTTGTGTCGCGCTTGGTCCGAGCTTAGGCACTCACGCACTACGACACTCTAGGTAGTCATACATACAGGTCACTTGTCCGAGGAGACGTGGCTTGTTACTCATGAATACGATTTGGCTCGTGACACTGATGCGGGCCAGTGGCTGAACGGCCCTGATGTAGACTATAGTCGGCATCCATGTACTTTCCGCCTGAGAAGTATTGTCGCAGGATATTCCTGGTATGAAGTGAGGGTGCCAAGGGAACTCTTTCACTCAAAATGTTCGGGTCGCTTCGGACTCCGACCCTTGGTCGCTATTGATGCGCGGCAGTAACAAAAGACGGAAGCAAGATTGAGGGTCATCTCATCTCATCGCATTCAATCTCGTTTCCGTCCTTTGTTATTCCCGCAATACCAACAACAATATATAACAACAATAATATGGTGAGTGCAGGAGTCTCATTGCTTTCTTAACTTCTTATCTCAAAGATCATGTGACAAGATTTCAGGCGGACAGTATCTACTCTGTGTTTTTCACGAGAAGAGCCCTAAAATTTCATCTTTTCTCATTTCATAGTTAATACTAATTTGTTATTGGTCAATATGTTATTCATAATGAATCAAAACCGTAAACAAAATGCCTAACGAGAGACCCCTCTCTCCCCTGTGCCGTCCCGGAGCTCTTCCCATGAATAACGTGGAGTACATGGCCTATACTTCTGACCGCCGACTACAGGTGACTTTCAGAATTATCGCAACAAGTGTTACAATACGTCGGAAAAAATATTCAAACGATTATGTTTACAATATTATACTTACATACATTTTTGGATGTTTGTAGGATAGGACTCTGTGGATCTTTCAAATAAACCCCACACGTCGCTTGGCGGTTAATATCGTTTATTACATTTGAAATACGCTTTTCGCTTGCACATGCGTTCATTTCCCTCACTCGGCGATACAATGGATGAAAACAATGGATGGGGTAAAAGTAAAATACTTGAAAAGCGCGACGCGTATGGCATAGGCTCGCAGCGGGTAGATGGCGTAGACGTGTCTCAACAATATTCATAAGACCAAAATTTAAAATAAAAAGAAATAATTACAATACGCCGGAAAAATATTTAATCTTGCTCTTATCAACATTTAGAAGTTTATTTTATAACACTGTAAGTATACCAATGGTTAAAGATTGAATTCACGCGACAGGTCTGCGCGTTCAAATACACGCATGTTTGCGTCAATACTAAAGGATTAAAGTCGTTGTAATTATATAGACGTAAGAGAACTGGATTTTTTGTTCATTTTTCTGTTTGCTATCTCTTACCGTTTTTAAGATAATCCGTCGGAAAGAAAAGATTGCATTTTCTTTCAAAGGGTGGTTTCACTCCTTCAAAGTGAAATTCGACACGAAAAAATAGCAATGTATTAGGCTTGATTTAATTTACTTACACTCAAAGTTTCATAATTCTTTTTAATTTCCGGATTCGATACGGTATATTAATGCAATGTAAAACTTTTTTATATTTTAATTTTATTGTCCGAAACTCTTACTAATTTTATTGTGAGGTTTTCGCATTAAAATGAAACCATATACAAATATTGTGGAACACATTTTCTTATTTAATAAATTACAATAATTTATCTTTATCTAGTAAATCATGATTTAAAGTATGTTATGTTTGGTCTTGTTTTAATCACAAGAATCTTACAAATACGTTAGTAAAAGTTATATATATGCGTACAGCGTTAGAAAGACTTTTGAGGACAAAGTTACACTGTTCGATGGGGTAAATTTGATGGTGGTAAAAAATGTTTTTTTTTTATGATCATGTTTTAAAATTTCAAGGTTATCAGTACTTTTTTAACTAAAATTCCACATTGTTCGTTCCATATTTGTATAGAGATATTAAAAAATATCTTAAAATCTCAACAGATTCCCGTAGTAACCGATTTTGATAAAACCATTAAATATTACAAGAACTATATATTTTGAACTTTCCTTTGAAAAAATATCACTGACATTTAATTTCCGAGATAATTACAGAAAACTGTCGCTCCTCCTACATTGAATTCTACATACATGGCGCATCCACGAGACGACCCTATGCATAACCGCGCGGCTTCGCGCTGGCTGTCGTCTTTTCGGATTTCACATGGATACGTTTCGTCACAAAAGTTTTAGGATACTCGATTGCAACAGTTTCATACCTTTTCTCGTACATATAAAAATGAGTATCACTCGGATAATAGATATTAATATAGGTGAGGCTAGTTGTTCTTTGGGGACCTGAGAAGATCGAGGGACGATGTATGCAAGCCATAGCAGCTGCGACAACTGCTTGGCTGTATTCGTGGTCGTCTTACGGAACTGTTCACGTATATATAATTCAATATGATGGTAGGGAAAGTTTTTCGCGACTATCTTGGAATCTAAATGTCGACATGTTTGTCAAGAGAAAAAGTTGTTAAAAATGTACAATTCTTGCATTATTTGACAGTTTTATTTAAATTGATTTGTGCGTGAATTTACTAAGGTTTTACCAGATGTCCTTGCTAAGTTTAAAAACAACAAAGATATTAGGGCGTTTCGATTTGGGTGAGACACCTTCTATAGGCAGTTGAAAGAAGAAGGGGGATATAATTTCTGTGATTGAGTTTCATTCAGGTCCACCTATATTTAATTTCATTTTAGGGTACACAGATGAAGAGCATCGAGGATGATCCAAGTATTACTCCCGGTTCTGTAGTCCGTTCACCTCTGTCCTTGGCTACAATCAAAGATCCAGATGCTATATTCAATTTAAGTAGCAAGACATCACCACCGCCACCGCAACAACCTACTAACCTTGATACATCAATACCAAGTTTGAGCAACTCTACATGGACGTTTAATCCGCCAGCTACTACCCCTAGTGCATTTACCAGGTAAGAATTTTTCAATTTTTAATATAAAGTAATGTTTATACGTAAAAATATAGTTATGTACATTTGTAACATAAAAATACTCTTTTTTTCTATTATACACAAAATCTTTACGTGAAAGGTATAATACTATCATATTTATATCCATAAATCATCTGACACTTTTATTACTATTTATAAGTCATTGAACCTCTGATTATCTTAAAAAAAAGTGTAAATTATGACATAGTACCTCTGTATTTCTGGAAAGAATGCTAGCACAAGCAATGCGAGTCTAATCGGTCAGTTTTCATTTGTACTCATTTCATTTTCGATACTGATGTGTTATTTGTCAATACAGTTACACGCAATCAATCAATATTATAAACAAAATGCACAGCGGAAGATTCCTCTTGCTTCCGTTACGTCCTGCTGGCATTCTTTCGACAGATGCAGAGTACCTATACACTACATATACGTTGCTCAGGAAAAGAGCCTCGCGATGGTACAGGAATAAGGGATTCTCCCCCTATGTCTTGTGTTTATAGTTTCAATTAGTTACGCGTAACCGCATTGGCGAATAGCGAATTAGCATCGATAATGAGATGGGGAAAGATGAAAGCTGACCAATTAAATCCGCATTCATTACAAGGCTCTTCTTCTGAGCAACGCTTTGTACATGTACCGTTCGTTGGCAGATAACTTGATGTCTAGCGGGTCGGTACAGGAGTAAAAAGGGTCTTTCGCAGAGTATTTTGTTTATAGTTTTCTTTGATTACGTGTAACTCTATTGACGAATAGCAAAGTAACATCGAAAATCAGATAAAAACAGATAAAAACTGATCAATCTGGTACCGATTCCTTAGCCTAGCTGTGATCACTTAACTTTACATAAACCAACCTTTTCCGAACATTTGATTTTCGTGTAACATAATGACTCAATAAATTCATTGAATAGCTTTTAGAACTTTTTTCGAAAGACAGATAATTATAGTTAATGTATATTTATGCAATACATTCTAGATTATAACAAGTTTAAACTGTAAACAGATGAGAAACAATAAAAAAGCTGTTGGTCAAAGTGCCATAATTAATTAAAATATTTAAAAAGGTAATTAAGATTGTATATGAAGCACATATCATAGGGTTTACATTTTTATATGATGAAGAAGATAAATTGAAGTAAAAAAGAATTATATAATAATAATTTATTATGAGATTTCATGAGATTGGTTTGTTCTTATTTTATATCTAATAATTTTATATTTTTTGAGTAACTTATGAATGAGAATATAAGATGTTCGACAGTAGATGGTCACGTTTATAAGGATGATTCTGAATTATATAATAAATTACTTCGCTGTAGAACCTTTATTGTCAAATTATTAACAATGACAATTCGATCAGTATGATACATGGATGCGATCTCACGTAACATATGAAAGCTCGGCGCTATATGAGGAGCTCTATCATATTACAATACCGGTTTCGTTATAATTGCATTGAAACAGCTGCAAAGTGCGATTGCTGTTTTTCTGCAAATGAAACTCAATATACTTTTTCTTTAAATAAATCGTTTCTTTGTGTTATTCTACGTAAAAAAGGTTTAACATATTAATCATTCAAAATTCAATATTTGTTGAGAAGTTCTGCAATAATTCCGCTGATTGAATGAAAGTAACGAATTGGCAATAACAATTTAATACAATTAATTGTAAAATTAGAAACAAACCTATGTAATGAACTGCAATTGTGCTTCGACAGCATACCATTAACTAATTTATGATAATACATGCTGCGTGAGAGTAGTTAATATGTTGTATGAGATAAATATTTGAAATATTTAAATATAGTATAAATTGAATGAATATTATTTTATAGTTCTAAAAATACTTGGGGTGAGTCTGCACCACCGCCAACTGCGGTCACTTCAGAACTGTGGGGTGCGCCGATTAGCAAAGTTCGTGGTCCTCCTCCTGGTCTAAGCACCAAAGCTGCAGGAAATACAAGCAACGGTTGGACAGGCCTTGGAACTGTTGGTAGATCATCCAGCTCTTGGGGCCTTCAATCGAGCGCAAACGCTGGCTGGGTGTCCACTTGGTTATTACTGAAGAATCTAACGCCTCAAATTGATGGTTCAACCTTGAAAACTCTTTGTATGCAACACGGCCCTGTTTTGGACTTCCGATTATTCCTTAATCATGGAATTGCATTAACCAAGTACTCCACAAGAGATGAAGCCGTTAAGGTATAGTGTACATTATATGTACACTTTTATAATAATAATGTATTGAATTATTCTCTCAGTTATGATGACTTTCCATTATTTTGTTTTTTATAATTGTGTATATTAATATAAATACCTCTTTAATATGATTCACTTTTGTCCCTACACATAGGGACTAGACATTTTGTCAAATCAGAATCAAGAACGTAAGGAGTTATTTTTCTTATTCTAATGGCAGTATCAACGCGTATTTTATATGTTAAAATGGAGTGGGCAGCTTTTATAGATTTTTGTATGTCAAATGTAACTGTGAAAACAGTTTCTTTCCATCATGCATAGGTTTTGATAACATGTCTTTGAAGAATGAATTTTATAACTTCAAACATTATTTGTGAATTGAATAAGAAGTATGCAAGTGTTCGTTCTGAAAAATGATCCTACGAATTTTTCCACGTAAAGGGTATAGCAGGATAAGGGGGTTAAAGGCAACATTAAGCCGATTTTAGCTACGTAAGTGCCGTTCGATAGCTTACCCATAGAAAACATTCTATACTAATGTTCAGCCCTTTATCTCAACTCAAGGGTAGTTACAGGGTAAATTAGAAATTATTACTTTTTGTCCTATTTGCCGTATTTAGTGGTATGCAAAAATTTTTAATCTGAAAAATGAAAGACCCTAAAAATACTGAAAAAATGTAGATTTTGTATTGATGAAACTTTCGAGCGACAATTTTTTCATTTTCACGGTAGCAGCATATTAATATAGCAGTAATATCTCATTTTTTCAGACATTTTGACCTACAATGTCATGATTAAAAAATTGGAAATTAATTTTTTTTGTCCTATTTCAGATAAAAACGTAATCAATACTTTTAGTTCGACAAGATATAAGATGCATAAGAAACTTTGATTGTTTATTAAATTAAATATTTAAACAATTTCATAAAGAATAAAAACGGTTTTCACGTTTATATTTAGTGGATTATAATCTGCAAGACTTCTTTATTAAAGTTCTAGATATAAACATTTGCAGCATTAATAATTTGATTTCTGTCTGTCGTATTTACAGTGGTCTATAGTATATAAAGAAATTAGTAGTTATAGTTTTGAAGAGAAGAGAGAAGGAATAAATCTATGCTTCTGCTTTGATAAACAGTTATAAAGAACATTTAACAAGAAAAGAAAAAGTACAACAAGAACCATATACACCACGAACAAATGATTCTTAAATTAATAAAAATAAAGTGCTTTCAGCACTGTATATTATTCATATTGTACATTTGATTAGATGATTGGGATACGGGAAATAGTATACTCTATCCATAAGGCACTGTATAGGACGTAAAATTTTTTATTGTGTAGTTGCTTCAATATATACACTATAATTATTCGAGTATTCTTACAATTTTCTTCTTTAGTTTATGAACTACACAACGCATGAATAAGAAGGAATAGCTTTGTTTATTTAAATGTATTTATCGCTCTAGCTATTAATGACACAAACACTATAGATAACAGATATGAATATCGCAACGATACACGAAACACAGCAGCAAAATTCTATACCTGCATGAAATACATACCCTATAATAACAGAACAATTAATAGAAATATATATACACTGCAGCCAAATAGAAACAAATACCACGACTGTCCAAACTAAAAATGAACAAGAAAATATTACAATACATAAAAACAATAAACGGAAATATTACCCTTCTATTCAATAATAATGAAAACACACTACAACTGATACACACAATAGTGTATGTATATACCGCAGCAAGTACAATATTTATCCTGAACAAACAGATGCTTACAACACAGAAAAATTAAAAAATAAACAAACTTAGATGGCAAGCCAGAGTAGAAAATAAAATACGAAAATTACGGAAAGATGCCGGAAGACTTACACAATACATGAGAGGCAATAGATCTAGAAAAGTTATGAAGAAAATTCACTATACAACGCAGAACAACGAAACAGAATTACATGTATGACTGGACACTATCAAGCAAAAGATAGCAGCATATAGTACCCGCCTAAGGACATATAAGAAAGCAAACAGAATAATATCTTCTGAAATAACGAAAAGCAATTTTACAAAAGTCTTAGAAAGAAATGGGAAATAAAAATAATATCACCTGGTAAAGAACAAATCACCACTTTCTGGAACTCTATATGAAATAACCTTGTACATCATAACGACAATAAAAGCTGGGTTAAATATGAAGAAGAAAATACGTACACATAAACAATGAAATAAATATAACGATTATCGAAACAGAAGTTCAAAATGTAATCAAGAATAATATGTAACTGGAAGACACCGAGTTTAGATAGCATCCAAAATTGTTGATACAACAAATCTACAACCTTATGTAGAAATTTACCACCTTATGTAGACCCTTAATAAAAGCCACAAACTACACTATAAAACATCGAGAAGCATTATCAATATTTCTTACTGAAGGGTTAACATATACAACTCAAAGATTAAAATATACAAGATCCCGCGAACTACAAACCCATAACTTGATCCATTTTGTGTGCATCATAAAGTAACTTTCAGATAGTCTTTTTACTGGCAGAAATTAAAAAAAGTTTTACGTTTTCGCTTTAACCTCTATAAGTAATTCGCTTTACCTTTCGAGCTGCGAACTATGTGCCACTATAAGCCTTCGATTAATTGTAAGTCCCACAGAACTGGCTTCTCAGATTACAAATTGGAGAACCGCGATACATCTAAATACAAGTAATGCAAACGAAAGTCAAAATGATGAACATAACAAAGAGATTCGTTAAGTACGATCTGGTTCTGCATATGCCTTAATCCGTTATCCAACACCCGAAACAAAACTAAATACGGTTTTGCTATTAGAAATAGAAATAAAACACTCTTGGCACTCAACTACTTTATGTACATGAATGATATTAAATTATAAGGGAGCAGCGCAAACGCAAATAAAATATCTCACAAGGACCACAAAAAATATAAGCAATGAAATACAGATGAAGTTTGGTATAGACAAAGTAAAAGAATGAGCAGGCTCGCAAAACTCACGATTTAACAAAAACAAGAGTTTGTTAATGAAAACAACAAGAAAATTACGCTATCACGCTATCGTACAGTACAGTGAACATTGGATAATTGCAACATCGGGGACCTCTTCATAACTGCAAGATCGTTATCCCCACCATATTCCCACCAGGTTCCTTTTAACACACTATAACGCCCGGCGACCGACGTTGGATGGGGTCATATGATCCGACTATTGTCGAATTTGACAATTTCAACGTGTTTTTCTTTTCTACACGCGGTCCTTTTCTAACAAAATTAATGAAACATTAATAATGAAACTAATTATAAAGTTTGTTCAAAAGAAATTATGAAACTTCAATCACTTATTATACAAGTAATTATGATCGTAATTTTATCGTGTTTGGTGTCACTTTAATCAGGAAAACATTATAAACATGATGGTGAAAGTTCTATTCAAAAGTAAAAAAATAGAGAAATTTGATTTTTGAATTAAATGTCTCAAGCTCGTCATGAGATTTTAATGTTGCCGCGCGCGCTCTTACTCTCAGTCTTTCTTTTCCTTTCACTCGCGTTGTCTTTTTCTATGTTCGCCATGCTAAAGTCTTCGTTTCTTGGAGTGGGTTCGATTCTACCTCTTCATAATTGTAATCTTCCGGTCCCGTTGAGTGTTGTAATTATCCAACATTCACTATAACTGCTCGTTTGCTGACTCTCACGACAAATCACCTCTTTTAATTCTCACCCCCATTCGATCTTTCTTCTTTACGCTTGCACTCTAACCCCAAACATTCTTCTTTCGCACTCCGTCAGATACTCGAGTTTTCCAGAATGCAGTCATCCTATGTTTCAAACACACTGGCGCCGCCCAATCGCAAAACGACATCGACCACTCATACCCACACAAATGTATCATTTCAAAAATAAAAAAAGTAGTATGGAAATTATACAAAAGAAAATGCAGACAGCAACAACTAATGAATATAGTGAGGCGATGCAACCAGGAAAAACGCAGAAGTACCTTGGAACCAAACGTGACACAAAAATAGACTACAAACATTGAAAAGACCAATTAACACGAAAATGAAATCTCTCTCGTGAGGCGTGTTATTGAGTGATGAGGAATACGTCTCAAGCGACGGCGTTGAGTCAAAAATGACTGCGACACGGTCTCTTGACGTGCGATCGTCGGAAGGCTAATGAGCAACTGTTGAGCAACAATTTTTGTAATCAGTCTAACACTCAGTAGAAGTTCCTAAGTGATTAACATACAAATAAACTATTAGACATAGGAAACGGAACAGTAAAGTTGCAATTAAATGAGATATGAGCATAGTCATGCTTTTACCCTTAATTGCATTTCTCATGACATTCTCGATGTTTCTGAAAATAATAAAACTAGTATTTTTTGTTCCTTAAGGCGTAGAAAGAATTATGCTATAATGCAATTTTTCGTTCTGGAGATCGCCCAAAATTCGCCTGTTTTTAACATCTAAACATAGGTTCACGGAAATATTTGTCAACTAATATATACTTATTTTCAATTTATAGTAGTATCAGACATTTGTGAGTCTATTGAATCGACAATAATTTTATTATTTTTACTAGTCAGTATGATTATTCAGTTTCATTATTCGGGATGACTGCATTTGTAAGTTGCTGCTATTTGTGTTTTAGTACAAGTAATATTGTAATTACTGTTGTTATTAGTGTATATGAATGAAGTGTGTAGTATTTAATATAATGCAAGTATACAGTCTGAAATGAATGATGTAAAGCATACATGGGGAATCGATGAGCCACTTCTTCACGTGGACTTCTTTTTCGATGCTTCGCTGAGCGGGTCTCCCTCCATACGCACTGGGCTCGTATCGTAGCCATAGTAAGGTCAACTAAATATAGGTATGTGTCAATGTAGTGGTAAGAAAAAGAGGAGGAATTCAACTGTGATCGTCAAATCACAATGAATATGGAGGGAACTGCTCAGTAAAGCAGAAAAGCAGAGAAGTGACCCACTAGCCACCCATTCCCCAATTATTATATAAAAACAGACTGCAAGTGTTTAAATAGTAATATTGAATATATTGAAGCAAACTACATTAATTATTTACGAATTAAGAATTTGTTCCTTTCCTTTGTAAAAATCAAATGTCATTTGTGTTTGAGCATATTCGGGATCCATAGACTTCAAAAATTGTTGAACCTTATTCCTCGATAGCTCAGAATTAAAATATAATGTTCCGCGGATAAATTCTCCAAGAAAAATATCCTTTTGTTTTGGCGAAGCAATGACAAGCTATTCAACATGTCTTAATTTTACTAACCACTTTCTTATAAGCATCTCTTTGGAAACTATTATCTGAAAAACTCAATACAGTCAGCAGTCATTGTCCAATAACGATTCTGTTTAGACTTATCTACTGACACACATACTGTTTCGTGGCACAGTCACGCAGCTGAATGGAGGATATGAATACGTTCTATATCATACGAATAACTGTAGACAATGATATTGCTACAACATGATCAACTTACATCTTAAATCTGCTTGCAATATATGGCTCCTTCAAAACTTTTCCTCTTCTTGTTCAGTAGAACACATTGTTCTAAAAAGAGATTAGCATTAATTTTCAATGTTACGACTAAATGGAATACATATCTATTAATCTTTTTTTCTTTTTTCTATTTTCAATTCTATTACGTACCAGACGATAATTTTAAAGAAATTAATATCGTGCTTTCCTATTATTCCATATCACATGTTAACAATGAGCTTCTCTCTTTTATCGGCGAAACAGAATCGATATCGTTAGATAATTACACCCACCATTGTATGTTTCGTTCTTGCTTGTCAGTGACGCAACCCTAGTGAGTGCGTACTGTAACATTTAACTCTTCATTTGTTACGGTAAAACTTAATGCGTATTTATAGTTCCTCATCTTCAGATAGGTTCTAAATATAAAAAATATTGGTTTACGTTACTTTCTACATCAATTAATTTTTGAACTTTTAAAGTATTTCGTGTAATTTTTTGCATATGAATATACATATGTATAGTAATTAGCCTAGTATTTTTATTTACGTAACAGAATGAGAAACGATTCACATACGTCCGTTCGTAATATTACGTAATATTACATTATTGTGATATCACAATAATGTCTATGAACATTCAGACATACGAAACTCTTGCACGTGAGAAGAAACTTGACCAATAATAACATACACATAGACAACACTGAATTCATGGAAAGCTATTTCCAACCACTCATTATATAGAAATAAGAAGATGGCCAGCTGTTCATAAATTACAAGTACATGAGAACGAGGGGAATCGTATGCTCGGTCTCCTCTAAAAAGACTCGCAATAATGATGATAGAGACTCCATATTCAATGAGACAGTGAAAAATGATTACAAGTATCGTAAATACACAAAACTACGGATATGAAATCTTAAACCAATGTCATTTTCTGTGACTGCGTTTGGCACTGTAGCATTTTTTGCATTTTAGTTTGTATAGGGTGGAAAGCGTGATTTCACATCCTCGGTTTGATGGAGACTCAGGTAAATAAGCTATCGGAAAATTCCCTTTGAACTTGAAAAAAGGGGTTAAAATATTTTACCGTGTCATTGTATTCTATTCATCGCAGAGGTAAATAATCTCAAAGAAAGCACGCATAAAAAATGAATAGTTCTCTTGTAAATCGCTGTTGAATCTCGCGTGGGAGACTAAAGGAACGCGTAACATCGATTCTCCTTTTCTAATACACGCCGTCCTTAAGAAGAACGGGATCGGCCCATTAGGACATGGCCGTAGGGATAGCCCAATCGATAAACAACGTCGATTCCGTTTTCCTTAAAATCGATGTCGTGCGTTCTTTTAGTTTCCCATGCGAGATTCAACAGCGATGTACAAGAAAGCTATTCATTTTTTATGCGTGCTTTTTTTGAGATTATTTACTTCCGCGATGAATAGAATACGATGTTACAATAAAAAATGGTAACCTTTTCTTTCAAGGTCAGTGACAATCTTGCGATAGCTTATTTACCTCAATCTCCATCAAACTGGAACTGTAGAACCACTCTATAATAAGGGAATATAATCATTTCTTTCCACTCTGTGCATAGTCGGCCAAACTCTCAGCTCCATATAATAAGTGGAACAAAGTTTTGGAAGAACTCACGTTCTTCGGTACGTTAATGTAGAAAACATGTCGGTATTCTATTTGTACTGACTTGTTTCGTTGAACGGGCTGGATATAATTATGAAGAATTTAATGGAAACTCATTTTTTGAAATGAATTCTTGACAAAGTCTTGGGAATCTGACGTGCCAGAGAAACCACAAACCCAATAAATATGTAAGCAACCGTACCGTGTGTTGCACAAATGATGGTATCTGAAAAGAAGTCGGGTCTGAGTAGTCTCGCCAGAAGTGGATGAGAGTCCATGCATTGTCTCGCGCATTTATGGATTCAGCGTGCGATTTGCTCAAACAATCACACATACAGTTCGCTTCTTTCGTCCTAAGCCCCGATTTCTGGGCTAAGAGAGCAGGGGAGCAAGGACTGACGTTCACTTGCGACGCTCAGTTCCGTAGTTATGGCGGCTTAGTTTTGGTACGCCCTTATTATTGACTGAGTCGCGCGGCAAAGAACGCAAGCGAAATGAAATGCGGTGAAATGAAATGTGCGAACATTGGCGTCGGATTTCGTTTCGATGCGGCAGTGGCGGCTTTTTATGTTCGCTGAATCCCAAGGACACGGAAGCTGGACTACTACGTTTCCTGGAAGTACCGAGGTAGTGGAGTGTGCGGCCGATTCCTTTCGCCTCTCTGCTCTCTTAGCCTCGAGGTGAACGGTCGGGACAAAAGAGGCCAACATACTTACTAATTCGCTAACGTTACACATAGAACACAGCGAAAGATCCTTTCTGCGCCTTGCCATCTCGAATACCATCTTCCACGCAACACATAGTACGTGCCGCGGTTTTTCATTCGCATTTATCACTTGCAAGGGTTCCTTCTGTTACGTGGACAATTCAATATAATGAAAATAATTATTATACGAAATGTTTGTGTGATACTTTAGGCACAAGGAGCTCTGAACAATTGCGTCCTGGGCAACACAACTATATTCGCAGAATACCCCGCTGATAGCGAGGTACATACATTGCTGCAACAATTGGGTCATGGTGGTCAGCAGCAAGCTGGAGCAACAGCAGGTGCCGGCTGGGGCTTGCGACCTTCGAATAAAAGCGGTCCCCCTCCTGATACTTGGGGCGGCAGTTCCAGTCAACTATGGGGTGCTCCGCCAAGCAGTAACTCCCTCTGGAGCAACACTAGCATCGACAACAACGATCAACAACGTGCTACGCCCAGTTCTCTGAACTCGTACTTACCCGGAGACCTTCTGGGAGGTGAGTCGATGTAGACTGCCGCACGGAAAAGCGATATCACTCGTGCGACGACCAAGCCTTCTTCTTCACGATACGTCAATTATATTGCGCATTGTCAGACGGGTCAGTTCTCTTGAATTAGTTAGTTAAATTACCGCCGCGTATACGCGTGCACCCTAACCCTTCGCGTGATTCCGTCATCAATAAGGGATCCGATTTGATTTTTTCTCAGTAGAAGTTTGAAATCGGAATCTATGAGAGAAGAGGTGTGTTATGAATTTTAAGGCTTTCGGTGTGCGCCGTGTTTTCTCGATGGTTTGAGATAGTAATATCAATTACAATTAATAATCCGCGTAAATACTGTTATTATTACGCGTACTTTGTGATGACCGCGTACTATGCCGTTTAAAACCTTAAATTAGTATTATCGTTATGTCTCTTATGTTATAAACTTCGGTGTTTTGGTATTCTAAGATAATACTAATTTTATCCAACGTATGCGCATATGAACATGCGAAATGCGCCTCATTTTTGATAGGCATGTTTCATGA